TAAGTAGAAGAAGTAGTACGTCGTCGTCACACGTAAGTAATAAGTTAAATTAAGTAATAAGTACGTAACTAAGTACGTTAGTTACGTAAGAAGAAGAAGAATATATATATATATATATATATATATATATATATATATAGTGTTTGTAATATGGCTGTAATCTCTATTGTGTTGAAGAATTTGTTGTACATACGTTTAACTTGTTCCGAATATATATATATTATTTTGAAAACAAGTGAAGTGCGTGCTGTTAATTTATCGTTGAATTTATCGCTAACAAGTCACAGACACCTACTGTAGAAGAATCGTAAACCCAACAACACCACAGTATATATTTATACTATTAAGAAGTATACGTAAAAGCCTTTTATTTTGCTACTTGGCGAAAGACTTATATTTTTAAGTTCTGACAATCACATACTTTGATTACTTCTGTGGCTTATTTGGAAATGATACCAATATTTCGTTAGCTAGACTTACACATAGGTTCTAGGTTTAACTTATGCCTGAAACAAAAGTGTATGTATATCATTTATATTTTAGCTCCATTTTATTTAACTTTCAATGGATGTTACTGAAATATATCTGTGCTCCGAAATTATTATTAATCAATAGTTTTTGTAGATTTACAATGAAAGGTTACTATAACGAATAATTGTGAAGGCTATACATTATTTGTTTGTTTTTCTCACAAGAGTAGACTCTAGTTTGTTAAGGAAAATCTTTAAGGAATAATTTCGTAGTATTATTGTGTATCCCAAAGTTCGAAGTTCTATATGTACAATGATGAGCAATTTAAATTACTTTTGGAACTGATACACAACATAAACTCGCGTACGAACCTGAATCAACGAAATGTGCGGTATTTACTGATTTGATATGATAAGCTATCACATTTTCAATACAATAGAGAGCTGATATTATATTAAACTAATTGAAACATTTAAATATATATTTCTCAAGTAAACGAAGACCCATATTTTAACATTTGATAAAAATAAAGGCATGGTTTATTAATTTTTTTTGTATATTAACATATGAGGCAGATCAGAGCTGCATTTTAGCATCTATTGGTTTATCGCTCAGATTTCTGTTTGATTTTTTCAGAATGTTTGCGCAAAGCTTCAGAAAGGGGTATCTGAATATAGTCGACCCACGTTTGGAATTGATAGAGTAAAAAAGAGCAGCTAGTCAACATCACCCTCCGCCAACTCTTGGGGTACTTTTAAAATAAGGAATAGTGGGGTGTGAAATTTGACAATTGCGTTTTTGCGACAACGAGTCACGAAACATGAACTTACAGATTCCCCGTCCGACCATACTAACCCCTAGGTCATTCCTGACCTTTAGCTTTCTGAGATGTTATCTTGACCAGTGACTTTAAGCGCACTCTAGTTCTGTACTTTGGTCATTAAACTATACTACTCATAGTTTTTCAACCAAGTTTAGTATGTAAAGTTTTATCTGCAACATCTGATGTGATAAAAATTTCAGTTTCAGGTGTAAGTTTTTATTTTGTTTGCTTATGTTCTTCTGCTAATATTTTCGACTATTCTTCACTAAGCGTTTACTCCCCTGTGTCATTCCTATATTTTGGATTATTATTATCGTTGGTATAGAGTCAAAAATTGAAGGCAAAACCTGACATGACCTATTGGTTAAGGCGCAATTTGTGGGGCGAGGAATCGAAACTGGTCACCGAATGTTCTCGCCTTTTTAGCCGTGGTGGCGCTATAATCTGATAATCAAACCCAGTATTCATTTGTATCGATTAGCCCAAATG